GTTGTTCAGTCGCATGGTTGTCATGGACATTGACTTCTTTGATCGAACTGAGAACTCATCCGGTGCATTGGCTTCAACATTGTCCTCGGTCCCCACGAGTTTGACAGAGCTTCTTGGACTGAACATCTATGTTATTCTCGTCATGATTGTCAACATAACTGCTAGCTCTATTCTTGCACTGGCGTATGGTTGGAAACTGGCTCTTGTCATGGTGTTTGCAGGATTGCCTCTTCTCATGGGTTCTGGTTACTTCAAGATCCGCCTTGAGTCTAGACTTCATGAAAGCAATGAGGCAAGATTCCGAGAAAGTGCCAGTCTTGCTAGCGAGGCTGTTTCCGCTTTGAGGACCGTTGCCTCTTTGACCGCCGAGTCGGACTTTATTGAGGCATACTCTGAGACTCTGTCAAGCATCGTCGCCCAATCGGTCAAGTCTCTCTCGATCTCGATGGTTGCATACGCCTTCTCACAATCCATCGAGTTTCTGGTTATGGCACTCGGATTCTGGTACGGCTCACGACTCATCTCCTCTGGCGAGTACACATCAGAACAGTTCTTCCTCATTTTCATGGGTGTTTTGTTTGCGGGCCAAGCTGGTGCCCAGCTATTTGCCAACTTGGGTAGTCTCACAAGAGCAAAGGGTGCGGCAAACTATCTCTTTAACCTGCGGGAGGAGCAACCAGTCATTCAAGAGACCAATGAGAACAAAGATCGAGGTCCGGATCTTGACCAGCCCATCAGTGTTGATAATGTGCACTTCAAGTACAAGAGTCGCAGTACCAAAGTTCTTCATGGACTTTCAATGGATGTGAGTCTCTCGTTTACCCATCTCACGACTACCTACTGACATTTCCCAGATCAATCCATCTCAGTTTGTTGCTGTTTGCGGTCCCAGTGGCTGCGGTAAATCAACCCTGGTATCTCTACTTGAGCGATACTACGATCCTATATCTGGCAAGATCTGCGTTGGTGAGCAAGACGTCAAGGATGTTTCGCCTCGCCTCTACCGCAACGAGATGTCCATGGTTCAGCAGGAGCCTGTCCTCTACGAAGGAACTGTACGAGAGAACATCTTGATGGGTCTTGATGGTGAAATTGATGATACATCTGACGAGCGACTCAACGAGGCTGCTCGACAAGCCAATATCCTCGACTTTGTCTCTTCCCTTCCAGAGGGATTCAACACTCCATGCGGTGCACGAGGCACAGCATTCTCAGGCGGCCAACGTCAACGAATCGCCATTGCTCGTGCTCTTATCCGCAAACCGAAGCTGCTGCTTCTCGATGAGGCAACTTCGGCGCTTGATACACACTCGGAGCAACTCGTCCAGGAGGCACTGGAACAGACGAGAAAGGAAAGCGGATGCAGTGTGATTGCGGTTGCTCATCGACTTTCGACTATTCGAAATGCTGATGTCATCTTTGTGCTTGTTGGTGGGAAGGTTGTTGAGGTGGGAACGCATGAGGAACTTCAGGCTAAGGGAGGCGTGTATGCGGATATGTGTCAGGCTCAGTCACTAGATAGAGAGGCCTAGGGATAGACCTTTTGTTTTGATTTGCATTTAGATTTAGACTTTTGTACCCATCTAGAGAGCTCATCTAGCTCCTTTCAGTTACATTCTCTTTGTTACGTTTCTTAATATTAGTGTTTTTATTTAAACTTTCTTATATCTACACACTCACTCCTCGACGGTGACAAACGATATCCTACAGGGTAGGTTCAGTCTGACCTGAGAGCAGTGACATACAACCCCTGCATATAGTTTGGACTACTCGCTTCGCCCCGTCGGAGCGGTCGGTACACTAGTGAGCACGGAAAAGTTTCTGAAACGTGCAATTAAGCCTATTCTTAAGCATCCTACACTAACGATGTTTGCAACAAGCACATGGGACCTTACAGCGATGACAATCCTCTTATACTCCATCAAGCCAACTCATCTAAGATGGATTTCCGTTTTTACCTAACAGGCTGAATTACTTCAGACGGAAAAGTCCACATTTGCTGCAACATAATGCCACGAAAGGGTAATAACAAGATTCTTATCCGTAGAAAGCGGAACATGACCTGGATATAGAAGGTAACGAAATCTAGAAACGTCGGAACCTGGCTCGCCGAACCTGGTAATAGTGGAGCTTGATGCTGGCAAGTCTCCATACAATGCTGGAGGTTCAGAAGGAATCCAATACCGGTAGTTGAGTCAGATAAAGTGTGGCTTAGAAGATCATACCCCTTGAGGTATATTCCCCTTTGAGACAGGGACGTTTGCATGATGCCGTTGTCGTAAGTTTGGTGATTGCGACCTTTCCATAATAGGATGGAAGTTGCTGCTGGAAGGATTGTATCACAGTGATAACCGTGCTGTAGGAATGTTGCATTTTAGCCTGTTAAAGCCAAGGTGAGTTATGACAGGGTTTGTAGGTTTCCCCGTGCAACCCACCACTACAAAGGGCCGAAGCTTAATCCCGTGTATTACTTCAAACTGCTCAAAGTCGAACAGGGGCAGTAAGACATAAATACAATGAAATCACCCATATGAGTTAATTTCATTCTCTCAAGCGTTGATCTTTATCAGCTCTGCAATCATGGCATCCCCACGCTCTCTCCGACGTTTTGTCTTCGCCTCTCTCGTTTCACTAGCTTTTGCTCAGAACAAAGCTGAGGAATTGACCAAGTGCCTCGACAAGGCCGTCGTGCGAAACGTCATCGAGTCTGACAGTCAATGGGCCGCAGAGACAACTCAGTTCCAGAAGCGTATTCGTCCCCAGCCTGCTGCAATTGCGTTCCCTGAATCTCGCGATGAAGTCGCCCTTGCGCTAGAATGTGCGCGAGAGGCTGATGTCAACGCAAATGCCCTTGGTCCTGCGCACTCGTTCCAAGGAAATGGCTTCGGAAAGCCCGGGAACTTGGTCATCAACATGGCTGCGTTTGACGACGTCAAGTATGACTCAAAGACCACCCTCATGACCTTCGGTGGCGGCACTCATGTTGGACCTGTTGCCAAGTATCTTTGGGACACTGCTGGACGCCATGTTCCTCACGTCCGTGGTGCCCATGTTGGTGTCACTGGATCCAGTATTGGAGGCGGCTTTGGTACTACCTCACGTTATCTTGGCACTCCCATGGACAACATTGTCGAGGTTGAGTACATGCTGTACAACGGCACCATTGTCAAGGCTGGAAAGGGCTCCGAGCTCCTTTGGGCTGCTCAAGGTGCTGGAGCTTCCTACGGTATCATTCTCTCCATGACTACCAAGACCTTCAAGCCTGAGTTCGACAAGGCTATCAACTTCACACTCTCTATGGGCGATCTCAGCCCCAGAGACGGCGCCAGGGCTCTCGTGGCCATCCAGGACTATGCCACCAGCAAGGACTGCCCTGATACCTTTGCCTTCCGATGGAGCTTGATGGCTCCTCCATACGATGGTACTGGATACTTCTACGGCAACCCCGACAGCTTTGACAGCGTTATTCGTCCTCTTGTTAACAAGCTCAAGACCATCAAGTCCGCCGTCGAGGTCAAGAAGACTGTCCTTCCCTGGTGGGACCTTGAAGTCGCTGTTGCTGGTGCTGGCATGAACCAGCCCGACGGCGGATTTCTCGGTGGCCGAGCATTCTACACTCAATCTCTCACCACTACGACCGACCACCCTCTCAGTCTTGAACAAGCTCAGATCCTTTTCGAGAGCACAACACTGGCCTTCAATCGAACTGATCTGACAAAGTTCGCCTACCTTGATCTCTGGGGCGGTGTCTCCCGCAACATCAAAGATAGCGACACAGGTTATGCTCATGGCAGAAACCTGTGGTTAATTCGCTGGGACGCCAACTCTGTCAACCCTTCCAGCTTCCCTGCCGACGCTATTCCTTACCTGCGAGGTCTGATGAAACCATTTGAGGATGCTCTTGTCAAGGGCGGCTCCAAGCTTCGTGGCTTCGTCAACTATGCTGATACCGAGCTTACTGAGAAGGAGTGGAGTTCACGTCTCTATGGTGCAAACTATGAGCGACTTAAGAAGATCAAGGCCAAGATTGATCCTGAGGGTCTGTTCATTGGTCACAAGCAATCTATCCCTCTGCCTTGAGCTTTCAAGTGAAGGCAGCAAATGTTTATTATATATATATCGTTAGTTCATAGAAGTAACGGAAAAGGATATCGAGTTTGAAGAATTAAGTTATAAAAATAAGTTCATGTTGTCTAGTTTTAACGTCTGCAAGTAAAATAGATGCTCCAAGATTCACGTAAGGTACGGTTAATGGCCCAATTAGGTAGGAAGTGGGCCAGGAGTGCTAAATGGCTTATATAGTTGGCTCGTTTTATCTAAGCTTAATTTTGCTATCCTGAGGGTGCAAGTTCAACTCGAATCATCTTATTGATGAAATTCTACAGATATCGAAAAACAGATTCGTGTCAAGAACTAAAAAGAAAAGTTTGAGGCACACCGGATTTGAACCGATAACCTTCAGGAATCTCCGTGCTTAATAGCTGGAATCTGACGCGCTACCGTTGCGCCAGCGCCCCACTGTTGGATAAAAGAATTACAAAGAAAACCCATAATGGTTTGGCTCCTGTTGGGCCTAGGAGTAATCGTAGTACAGTCGTTACAACTCAGCGTTACGAGATGTCCTACAAGGCTGGGCCTTTTTAAAACTCTGCATTTACTATAGACTTTGCCTTTCGAAACTATTAGACTATATATAAGCCATGGCTGGAGTATCTTAACGCCCCATGAGCTAAAACAATATTGAAATCACGAACTGGAGACTGAAGTAATTGGCAGGTTAGGTAGGGACCTAAGACCAAAACCTTGATTAATGACAAGATTTAGGTAAGTTTACTATAACTTCAGAACAACTAGTCACTCGCGGCACCATGCTTCAAGATGTGAAATTCCTTGAGGGTTGGTAGGGACCAGACAAAGAGCGGCATTTTTCTTGAAATAAGGTTGTATCGAATAAGCATATTCCCCTGCCTCCCCCTGCCTCCCCCGCTCCAACGTCGTCACGGACTTTCAAGCATGCAATAATGCCGTCCAATCCAGGAATGTCAACATCACAACAAGCATAATGACGACAGCCAATCTCTTTTAGCCTGATGATTACTGGACCATTCGTAAGCAACACCTATCCTAAATCGTTGTATATTTTCCCTCCTCCTTGTTACCGTTCCACTTCAATATCTTGCGACCTTACAAGCCATCATAATGAAGTTCTTCCAGCCCATTGCCGCCTTTCTGTCTCTCCTCACCTCTATTGCCCCGAGCGGGGTGATGGCGGCCGAAGAATCGGCAGCGAATCAACATCAGAAGGGCGAAACTGTGAAATACCAAGGATGTCAGTATTCCCTCACACATAGTTTTCACTGAGTGCCTAATTGACTATATACAGTGAATCTCTATGTATCCAAGCCCGGAAGGTTTAATCTTGGCCATAAGAAGCCTGGAAAAAGAACTGGTGTTCTTTTTCTTACCGATGTCTATGGTATCCAGCTGAAGGAGAATAGAGAGTGAGGTTGCCCATTGCATTTGACTTTTCTCTACTGATCTAAAACAGGCTGGTCGACAACTTCTCCAAAGAAGGCTTCGTCGTCGCTGCGCCAGATCTTTTTCAGGGTAACCCAGCAAAGGAAACTCCCGACTTCAACATCACCGAGTTCCTTGCCAAGCACCCCCCAAGTGTCACTGACCCAATTGTTGCAAAAGCAATCAACTACCTACGCAATGAGCTCAAAGTGAACTCCATCGCTGCAACAGGCTATTGCTACGGTGGACGTTACGTCTTTCGCTCACTTGGTCAGAACGGCAAAGTTGATGTTGGCTTTACTGCTCATCCCAGTCTCTTGGCTACTGAGGAGATCAAGGCTGTCAGAAAGCCCGTGTCCATCGCTGGCGCTGGTCAGTTTCGCCACGTAATAATACAATAAAATCAAAAGCTAATATGGATCTAGCCGAGGATCAAATTTTCCCCCAGCCCAGGCAAGCAGAGACTGAAGCTATCCTTACCAAGATAGGCAAGCCTTTCACCTCGGTTCTGTACAGTGGTACTACTCATGGTTTTGCTGTTCGTGCAAATGCATCGAACCCGCAGCAAGTCTTTGCTAAAGACGAAGCGTTCTATCAAGCTGTTCGTTTCTTTAATGCATGGGACTAGTTCACAGTCTACAAGTTGCAGATCATGACCTCTTCCAATCATCAGCAGAGGCATTTCCACTTTCCTTCTCTTGCACGGAGTCCTGGCACATGACAAGGACTATGCATCATATAGTTACCTAATAACGATTTCCATATTTGCCAAAGCCACAGCCATTTCCGCTTGAATCTAGACTGGTCTGAGACAAACTAGCTCTCTATATACACCGTGATCCATATTCGTGAAGATAATCAAAATCACCAAAACATCCCATGACGTCCATGATGCCAGCAACAATGACGAAAACATGAAGCATCTGGTGACTCTGTCCCACGATATCGAGTGTCACTGCAAAGAATCTCTCAGGCACCTGTTGCAAAGGAAAATATTAGTAATCGGCGAGGTTCAGGCGAATAAATAGGATGTCAGTTGCTGTCCGTAATCCAGACTCAACTTACTCTATGAGCGTAGGCAACGACGCCAATACCTTTAAACAAAGCCACATATAGTACCAAATCAATCCCATTCTATACCTTTGGACATCCCAGCCTTACTTCATCACAGTATGGATAACAGGTGCAAAACCGCTAGTTCCTCAAACGCAGAATAGAGGGCTCCACGAACAGCCTTCGCTTTGGCAGTTCGGAATCTCGGTGCATTGTGAATAGTGCACACAGTCCAGCGAGAATTGTCACTAAGCCCCAGTAGATATTACGCAGTAAGTGGTCGCAAACGAAACCATAGTATAAAAAGGGAATCATTGCGCTATATATGAGGATAAAAATGCCGATGTAGTCGAGCTAACCGCTGAGATGATGGACGTGAGAAGAATGGTTTGAGACTGCGTGATAGATTTATGATTGTCAGGCTCAGATTAGTTCAAAGAGACTGAGAGGTAGGGGTTTACGTTGCGAATAAGAAGAAGCATATGGTTACCCCAGTGAAGTATATCGTGCATACTGCGATGTTTTCGCGAGTAGCAACCTTGTACCGTGGAGGAATCTTAGTGTTAAAGACATAAACAGGAATAATCAGAAACAAGTCATAACCTAGGACATGGGACCAGACATTGACTTGACCCGTGAGTGTGAGGAGACATGCTTCTGGGAAGGATTTACCTGTTTCATTGTGTATAGCCCATATGCTTTGGACGCTTCTCTTGATGGAATTGGGAGGGGCTCTGTAGCATGTCTGAATAAACTCATTTTCACTTTTAGATGAAACAGTCAGCTGGATGAGTGCTATATGTACGGAACACTCACTGCAGCCACTCCCGTCAGTTGTCACGATCTCTGTGTCAGCAATGTTTAGGTAGTGATATTGATGAGGGCGAGATGCTTACGTATGTCTGCTATGAGCAACCCTGTATCAACCCATTTCCCCCAACGGTAGCAACATCGTCCTGCATGTGAGAAGCTTCCTCTACCGCATCAGTAAGTGGTTGAATTGGAGATACGAGTCCTCCAAGACAAACCCCCGGAACATCCCACAGGCGTCACAAATGGACAGAGTTGCACAGCTTCTATGTTGTACGGGTGGCTTTGTCATTGACGTTGACGAAGACTTGGATCTTTTTCCAAATTCCTACACAGAGGCTGACATGCTCACCATCTGCAGTTCTTCTTCTGGCTAAATGTGGTCATCTCCCGACGTGGATCCGAGCGACATCAAAGACAATCCACAACAGACAGTCGGGCCAAAGCTATCGTTTTACTCCAGGCAATATGGTTTTTGATACAGATCATCGCCCGAATTGCACAGAAACTACCAACTTCGCTCCTCAGAGTCAACACCATTGGTCATGTTCTCTTTGCCATTTATCTTCTCTGGTGGCGGAAGCACCGGCGATAATCGTAAACTCCGACAAAACATGAACTGAACCTTACATATGTCAGGCTGAGGCTTAAAAGACGGAAGATGCCGACCAAAGAGTTCGGGATAAGACGAACCAAGTCTGGCTAGTGATGAAACCCTGTTGTGTACACCGCTTACGCATATTTGGTCTCGTAGTTAGTGGCTAATATTCTGACAGAACTAGTTCTGAAAAGGAATATGCTCGGGCTTGCCGGACTTGTTACGATTATCCAATTGGCTCACGAACTCTGTGGCCAACAACTTAGTTTGTTATTTGAGTTATGATCAAGGCTACGATAATGCATTATCAGAATAAGGATTTGTCACTGTGTGAGACTCACTTCTGATTGGCAGAAACTTTAACTTACTTGCTGTCATGTGTGAACAGACTCCGCAGGCTGGCTCAGCCTTTATGTATACTAAAGAACAAATATGAAATAAGGATATAAAGCAGCCTTGAGCTGCTGCAATCCAGTCTGGTTGATCTGTCATTAACTCAAAACCCTTCCTCTTTTCTTCAACACCCATATTCCTACCACAATGTCCGAGCATCCAACGGCAATCCCCAAAGGGTCTTGGGTTCTTGTGACAGCCGCCAATGGTTACACTGGGAGTCACATTGTCTTCGAGTTGTTGAAGAGAGACTTCAAGGTCCGCGGCACTGTTCGAGACTTGGAATCAAGCCAGTGGCTACTAGAGGATGACTTTGTTTCCAAGTACGCCGAACGTGGCCATATCGAGCTTGTAGTTGCCGATACGACCAAACCCCATGACTTCGACAGAGCCGTACAGGGTGTCGCAGCTGTCATCCATGTTGCAGTCATTGGAGACTTGGTTCCTGACCCCAATGTTGCTATTCCAGCCACTATAGAATCAGCTTTGTCTGTTTGTCGAGCAGCAGCAAAGGAGCCATCCGTGAAGCGTTTTGTCTTCACTTCTACCTTTTGGGCTGCTGCCTTTCCAGTTCCCGGTGTCGGTGACACCATCACAAACCTTGACACTTGGAACGATGCTGCGGTTCAAGCTGCTTGGGCCCCTCCTCCATATGAATCGGATCGAATTCTGCCGGTATATTTTGCAGCTAAGGTTGAGGCAGAAAAAGCTGTCTGGAAGTTTGTCAAAGATGAGAAGCTCCCCTGGGTAGTCAACTCGGTCAGCCCTTGTGTTATCCTGGGAGACCTCCGAGATGATAAACATCTACGGTCTGTGCCTCCCCAGCTAATTGAACAGCTGTATTTGGGGAATCTTGAAAAGCTGCAAACCCCTGCTAGTAAGTAATATCTCCGTAAGTAATACTTGTGACTAATTATGAGAAGTGTATTACAGCCACGTCACCGATGTTGCGATTATCCATGTCGCCGCTGCAATCGACCCCGAAGTACATGGTCGACGCATCCAAGTTCTCGCAGCATCATTTACATGGAATGACTGTCTTGATATCCTACGAAGCGCTTACCCGAATTGCAACTTCGTTGATAACTTTATTTCTGGTGACCCGAAGTTGATATACAACATTGAGAACGATATTGCTCTTGATCTCCTACAGAAATGGGCCGGGCGTGGTTGGATCAGTTTGGAGGCGAGTGTTACAGAAGTGGTGGATTACTTGATCAATACGAAGAGGCTGGGTTATGAGTAGGCAGGCTTCATCGCAGATACTCATAGATAGTTATCATTGCTTATCGATGGTGCCCGCAATTACGTCGTAATTCGCTCAGACCACGTGACGACTTATCCCCCGCAAAAAGCAGCCCGTGAAATCGTGTGCGCGGCGCCTGATAAGTGCATTTGATAAGTTCCCCGCAACTTATCAGGCCCCAGACAGGAAACAAACACCACGTAGAAAGGCCTTGATCGACCGAGATGGCCGCAGACGACTCGTACACGGCCGCAGACGAGCGTGCCCGTGCCGCCCGGAGGGCGGGCCTTCAGGCGAAGAAGGACGAACAGCCGGCGAACACGGCACGGAGTTATGCTGCGAAGCAGCGGGAGTGGAAGGCGCGTTCCCCCGGCCGCCGCCCTCTCTTT